ACTATAATATGAATCAAAAATCTCATTTTTTGTTGAAAGGTCCCCAAAACCCATTTTTAATAGCAAAGCTCCCATTTAGTTTATAGAACTCAATGAAGCAATTGTATCATAGTATAGATTTCTGAGGGTATATTATTTCTGATTGGGAAATAATTTTTTTTTTATTTTTATCGTATGACAAAAAACAATTGATTTCTTATTAATTAACGAGCCACCAATCAGAGAGTCTTATATATATTTTATCTCTTATATAACGTGACTGAAATTCACAGCACGCTGATATTTTTTCCTTAAATAAATTTCACGTCGATATATATTTTTTCTTTATTGAAACAATTTCATTTATAAGACCCATTTTTCAAAGTTTCAATTTTCGCTTCCCGCTTCACTGTTTTTGTTGTTTTCTCATTTTTTTTTATTGAAACGGTTGAACAGAAGTTCACGTTGCAATGGAAAAAGGTAAGTTACGACAGTTCGTATTTTCCCCTTTGAGTTGTTACTCTGGAACTCTGGAAGCGCAATCGACTTCTCCTCACCCTTTCTTGTGAAAGTGGGGTTTCTTTGATTAAAGGACTACTGGCTCTGGAGGAGGAGCTGGTTATGTATCTACCTTTATAAACAAAGAACCTTGTCTGTGAGTGGGAGGTCAACCACCCTTCTTTTGTGGGAGTGCAACCACCCTTCCTTTGTGGGAGTGCAACCACCCTTCCTTTGTGGGAGTGTAACCACCCTTCCTTCGTGGGAATGCAACCACCCTTTCTTCGTGGAGGTGTTATTAAATTTTTATTATTTTTATTATTATTTTATTAATAGGCAGAAAATGCTGTGGAAAGCTGAAGCTTTCAGTGATGGTTGGAGGTGACATCACATGATGAAATGTCAAAACACATCAAAGCTACTACGAAATTTGATTTTGTCCATGTGCAGAAGAAGAAGGATAAAATGTAAATTATTAATTGTTATAATTTATTCATTATTAAATTACTAATAAATGGTTTTTTCAGTTTTGGTCATGTTCACTTTGAATCATGGGAAAAAGCATCTCAGTTTTATTATAGTACGATGGAGAAGCGTTTCTATTATGATGACGATAAAGAAAGAGGTCTAATACGCTTTTATAGTGCGACTTATTATAATTCTACTCGAAAGGTTGTTTATAAAATGGTAAATTTTTTATTTTATTTATTATTATAAATTAACCTGACAGTTCAGATAATGTAAAAAAAAAAGTTGTTGTGTATTTAGGATACTGAGATGGCCAATACTGGAACCTTAACTTCTGTTTCATCAAAAGTTGAGATTAGCGATCATAATGATATAAATGAGAATACTGAGATGACCAATACTGGAATCTCAACTTCTGTATCATCAAAAGTTGAGATTAGTGATCATAATGATATAAATGAGAATGAGAGGTCTAAAAAACGTAAAATAACTGAAAAGAGAAATCTCCTGAATCTCCTATCAGTGTGGCATATGGGTAGGACCCCGAATTATACTAATAGAACTCACAAATGTAATATGAATATGTAATTAAAATTATATTGTATGGTATAACTCAGTCAATATTAATGCTAGAAAGATGAAATTACTACCATTAGATTCCTTTTGGTCAGACGAATCCAATGGTATAAATGTCATTAAAATTGAATTCCTGGTTATTGAAATAATAGGGTATGTAGGATAAGTAAATTTGTAAAAATAAGCAACTTTTGGCAAAGTTTACATATAAATTCTACACAAACTTAAATGTGAGTTATATTAGTATAGTTTGGGGTCATATATGGACTTTACAAGGACAAGTATGTATCTATTCTTTAACTAGTGCCTGACCTGTTCTGTTTAATTAAATAACTTAATAATAATCTCTATTTTTTGGTATTTTATTACAAAGTCATACATTTAATATAGTTTTGCATACACCTGAAATTAGAAACAAAGCGGATCTCTTAGTCTTTTCTGTTAGTGATAAGTTGATTATTATTGAGGGGAATTTCAGTGAAAAGATTGTTTCTGAAAAATCTATCAAAAATTTCTTACCTGTAGGACCGTTCAAAGTAGAAGTGGAACTTCAAAGCAGGTGAGTTATATAAAAATATAATTTTATTGTTTTATGGTCGCTTATAACTAATTAATAGAATTAAAACCATTTCTGTTAAAATTGAGATTGAGCATGATATGTCAACTGTTACATTGGAAAAAAGCAAAAAAGTTTTTGAAATAATCTAAGGTTAATTGTAATTCTTAATTAAAAATCGGATATATAATAATAGAAATTAGGTAAAGATTCAATTGATTAATTGTTGGATGTAGTGATACCTAACTAAACTCTTTTTTAAAAAATTGTAATTTCGTTAAAAGTTTTGTCTCTTTAATATTTTTATATGAATAAATATAAAATTATTATATTTTTTAATGTATTTTAATTCAAGG